TAGAAAATCAAACTGAAAGCACCTTTGAAAATAACTATTTATGCTTCAATATACCCACTTGGCCTTCCACTGTGTGCGCATAATCATAAAGCCAACGGGCCGCTCTCAACGATTTTGTTCACTTTTCTGCGGAACGGACACGTCAAAGGCCGCCTTTAATGTTTTAGCACCTTTTGTGCTGTTTATTCTATTATTTAGTTGTTTATCAATGTTTCAGGATCGCTGCCAAGCCGTGCCGAACAGCAATGGGACAGCAGCTCAGGCACTGCGTGTAGGAGTCGGGCTCGTTGTTGTTGCCCGTTGGTGCAATTCGTGTTTTGATTTAGTGCCAATTTCGAGCAGAAAAATTGTTCAATGCCTCAGGGGCAAAGTTAAGTTAAAAAACCAGGGAAAAAGAGAAAAAACACACGCAGATTACAGACGGAAATTGAAGCGGCTCGAGATGCCAGTTAACAAGCGAGAGAACAATAACAACTGAGTCACCCGAGGGTCAGATTGTTGTGTCCGCGTTGTGTCTGCGGCCTGTGCGTGTCGCTCGATGGCAGCCAAGCAACAACACCTTGCTGAGTGGGCCCGAAGAAGTTAAATGCTTGCCAGCGACTTGCTCAATTTAAAGAACTTTTATTTGATCGCTTATGCGTTCGCATTTTGGGATATACTTCCTTGTGGCTTATCCAGCATCTGGCGAAACCAATCTGATATGAATGTCTGCTCGCAATCAGGCTGAATGTAAGTACGCCGGGACGGCCAATATAATGGAGCTGATGATCAGGATTGTCCAGCTTTATGACACGGTGCAGGTCGAAGTAGCTTTATCAGAAGAGTAAATCTCATTTAGCCGTATGACTAATATTATCTTACATGAGTCCATGTCCAGAGCTGTCGGCTTGAGCTATGTAAATATCGTTGACATCCTTCAAGCAGCACTCGGACCACCAGCTCAAGGCATCCATCGGCTGTGGCTTCAACTGAGGCGGCTGAATTACTTTACATTCCACAGAAAAAGGTGCCTGACCACGTGTCTGATACGCTATAGGCAATAGAAATTTGGAAATTTTAGAAGTACTTGAAGTACAGTGAAGACTTTGAGGGCATAGACCAAGCCCAGTTTGCCAATGTTGCGGCTGAAGCCACGATAGTACTCTTCGCTGTGCCCGTAAATGAATTGCATTGCTTATACCTAAATATATCAATTGCTTCAGTTCAGTCTCCGTACATTTTCGACGTTCTCTGGCCAGCTCCTCTGCAGAGATTTCATTTGACGGCGGCCGCGCCCAGGTCAAGTAAAGGGACGATATCTGCTGCCCAAGATTCGCCAGTTGCTCTTCATGTAGAGCGTGCTCACAGCAGAGTCGTCTAAACATTCTCCTGGCTGACAACGGGCGGACCTCCTCCTCCAACCTGTAGACCAACGCATTTGATGGTCCCTAATGAAGTGCAGCATATTGCCTTAATATTCTGCATGCTGGTCACGCTCATTGTATGCGATATTTGCAGAGGACATCGTGGTAAATGTTGTCTGTGGTTAGCAAACTTTTCTTTCAACTGAAATGTCAAACGCCAGTGTTGACTACGGCAATCGAATAGTATTATGAAATGCATCAATGAGACATAGCTACAAACTTCGCTCACTTGACAAATGTAAAATTGGAAGTTGAGTTTCCACCCATTTATGAGAAGAGAGAGAGAGAGAGAGAGATATATGATCTGGGCATTGCCTTTATTGAAATGAATATATCAGCATTTATCAAAAAATGAGATTAGACAGGCAACTCGGCCTCTTGCACTTCGGGGCCTTCGCTGGTCTGAGCCGTGGCCATCTCTGGCTGCTCTGGTTGCTCAGTGGTTGTGGTGGCACTTTCGGCTGGCGAGGACTCCTCGGACTGGCTGCAGGCGCACGAGTCGCGCGTGTTGGCCGCTATCCACTCGTTGAAGTTGCTCACGCGCGTGTAGACGCCGGGTGAGCCGGGCTTGGCGCAGCCCTCGCCCCAGGAGACGATGCCAGCGAGTTGATAGGTTTGCTTCTCGTCAATCACGTGCATGGGTCCGCCGCTGTCGCCCTGGCAGGAGTCCTTGCCGCCCTGCTCCACGTAGCCGGCACAGATCATGTTGTCGGTGATCTTGTCGGCGCCATAGTTGGTCTCACGGCACTCCTCCTGCGACAGCACGGGCACCTCAACCTCCTGCAGAGTATCGGAGATGGGCCCACCCTCGCTGAGAGCGCCCCAGCCGGTGACCACTGCCGTTTGGCCAGCAAAGGTCTGCGTGGGCGTGGGCAGGCAAACGGGATGCATGTCGATGCCTAGACGCACGGGCTCATTGAACCGGATGAGTGCAATGTCGCTGTCGAAGTTGAGTGTGCTGTAGTTGGGATGGACGAGCACGTGAGCCACTCGCCTGTCCACGATCTTCACATTGCTGTCCTGCCGATTGTGCTCCAGCAGGCGCACCGTGATCAGCCGATGGTAGAAGCCGTTGACGCAGTGGGCCGCCGTCAGGGCGTACTGATCGTTGACCAGCGTGGCACCACAATAGAAGCTGCCGAACCACATCAGCATGGCCATCCAGGGATACTCGTGCACCTCCGTCTCCTGCCCGCCGACGATGCGATGGCGCGTATTGATGTTGCCGCAGCCACAGGCCGGGCACTCCCGCTTGGCGGGCGACACGCCCGTCTCAGGGTAGTCCGGACCCAGCACGGATATGATCCAGTCCAGGAAGCTGTTCTGTCGCATACTGTTCAGCGACTCCAATATCTTGGCCGGCTCCGAGGCGCTGCGCAGACTGGGCGTGGCCAGGGCTAGGCCCACCACTGAGACAAGCAGGCAAATGTATCTCATTCTGGTAAGCGAACTAAGCTGGCCAACTGGCAATTGGCAACTGAATTGGCGCATCCCTGCCAATGCCCAGCCAGCAGAACCCTAGGCCGGCCTCGACCGGCTGCAGAACTGGCTAGACCAGCCGCCAAACCGGACCCAGCTAAGGTTATTGCCATTCCACATGCTGGAATGCTGCAGCTCTATAAATACCCAAGAGATTTTCTGATTTTTGTTTTCTAGTTCTTGATTTAATAAATAAGGAGAATAAGTAAATAAAATATCTTCGACGAGTCGAAGTCTTTGATACACTTGCAGAGGCCTTTGCTAACATTTCACATAATTTAGATCAATTTTAACATAATTTTGAGAAAGAAATTAGTTTTCTTTTTGCCATTAAAAAACTAAACTTTCCGTTTGGTGTCTTATGTCTGGAATCTTTTGGTTGATATATCACGAAAAATAACGAAAGTTTTCCAAAGAAAAAACTTGAATTTCGTCCAATCAAGGCAAATCCGATTGAGTGAGGTCATATCATAAACAATAAATAAATACGCAGTGATAATTATAGAGTATTCATTCAGTCGCCTCACATCCTCATCCTCATGCTGCCAAAGCAAGTGTACTGCGCGAGCTCTGCACCAAGTTACTTGATCTTCTTGGTCTCCTGCTGGCAGAGGCAGGCCTGTTTGGTGAGGTTCTTGATCCAGGTGCCGTAGCGATTCACTCGCGCATAGACACCTGGATAGCCAGCCTTGGCGCAGCCCTCGCCCCACGACACGACGCCAGCGATTTGATACTCTCTGGTGCCATTGGGCACGATGTGCAGGGGGCCGCCGCTGTCGCCCTGGCAGGAGTCTTTGCCGCCCTCGTCGTAGCCGCCGCAGAGCATGTTGTCCGTGATCTTGTTGCCGTAGCGGCTCTTGCGGCACTCGTCTTGCGACAAAATGGGCACCTGAACCTCCTGCAAGGAATCGTTAGCCGCGAGTTGCTTCGATCGAGTCGTTCCAGCTTACCTGCAGCGTGTCCGAGGTGGGCCCACCCACCTTGAGGGCGCCCCAGCCGGTGACGACGCCGATCTCTCCCCTGAAGCTGCGCCCGGGCGTCGGCATGCAGACGGGATGGAGCACCTCGTTGAACTCCACATGCTCGTCCAGCTTGATGATGGCAATGTCGTTGTCATAGTTGCGGGCATTGTACTTGGGATGGGTGATCACCTCGGCGACCTTGCGATCGATCTTCTGCATATGCGACATCTTGCGATCGTGCTCCAGCAGGCGCACCGAAATGCGCTCCTTGCGGAAGCCGTAGACGCAGTGCGAGGCGGTCAGCAGGTACTGATCGTTGAGCAGGGAGCCGGCGCAGTAGAAGCGTCCGCCGTAGAGCAGCATGGCCACCCAGGGATACTGATGCACCTCCGTCTCCTGCCCGCCCACGATGCGCTTCTGGATGTTGGCCACGCCGCAGACGCAGTCGCTGCAGTTCCTCGGCGGACTCAGCGTCGGCGGCGCCGGCGTCGTTACCCTTCGCGTTGTTGTGGGCGCTGCTGTGGTCGTTGTGGTTGTTGCTCTAGTTGTTGTGCTTGGTGCGGCGGTCGTTGAGGTTGTCGACGCCGCAGCTGGCGTCGCAGTGGGCGTCGTTGCCGAGCTGCTCAGCGCGGCAATTGTAACGCTCTCGACGGCGGCGCCGGGACGCTGCGGCAGCAGTGATAGAACCCATTGAACGAACGTGTTCTGGGACTGCTTCAGCACGGGCGATACGGGCGCTGGGCCAACCGCCGACAGCGCTGATGCGTTGTACTGCTGCGAGGCACCCGATCCGATCAGCAGCAGCAGCAACAGCGGCAGCAGCAGCGGCAAACTGCTCCAAGTCATCTTTGCTAATGTTGGAAGAAAAAAGTTTGTTCGGTGGCTTTCTCTACGCTCTAGCGACACCACCAACTCGTGTGGCTCGATGCAAACTGAAAAGCCAGCCACAAATTTGAAAGCCAGCGACAAACATTTCACCGAAATTCACATTACAAGCCACACACAAAAAAAAAAAGTGGTTCTGGCCTGTGGCACGTCCACTTTGCCAATCTACAAACTCATACACACGTATAGATGTATGTGTGTGTGTGTGTGTGTGTGTGTGTGTGAGTGTGGTTTTGTATTCTGCGCATGCGTAGGCCACGCCGGTTTGACCATGATAATAATACTTCACTCAACACAATATCACACAAATTTTTTACCTTCAGTCAACGGCTTTTTATACCCTATAGAATTCTGCAGAGTTCTGTTAACTGAAGCAATTAAAAGCTTATTCAAATATTAGATATTCATATCAAATATTATAATCTATTGAATTCCGCTATTCAATTTGCAGATTTATTTGAATTCTTTCGCCTGGCCCAAACGGGTTTTATTTGATTTATTTCTTTGAAATGGAAGCGCATTTGTTATTCGTCTAGCTGCATAAATATGTATGTATGTTCTCCACTTTTTTTCTCTCTCTTTGTCATATAGATTTCGGTTGTTGTTGTTGCTTTTGTTTTTGCCACTGAAGTAGCGAAAGTTTTTCTCTCGCCGCTGATTTTATTGAAATACATTTTGATATGCTGTAGATTCGCAGCTCGATGGAGCGACGCGTCGTCATTTTACTTTCTTTTGATTTATTTTATTGTTGTTGCTCGATGTGTGTGCCTTTTGTTTGTATAGCCCCAGTATTTGTTTGTTGAAATAAATATATGTGTATATACATTTTATCGGGTTTTTATGCTCTTTTACGTGGCTGACTTGGTAAATACACTGCCTTGAGGCGTATTTAATGCATTTAGCAAAGCTAATACTTCATTTACTTGTAAATAGATACATTTTTACAACTGTCGAAACTCTATTAGAGCTCTATCTAATGCAGTTACCTTATGCTAACAACGGCGCTCGTAAAACTTTTAAGTGCACTTAAGGAGTAACAAAAAAAAATCTATTTAAAACTCGATTTAGGGGCAGCGCCACTCGCGTGTGTGAGAGTGGGGCATGAGTCGTCTGTCGGCTGTCGGCTGTCCGCTCTGCTCGTTCTGTGCCTCAACAATTGTGGGACAGCTCAATGCGTGCCTGGCCGAGCTGTGAGTGAGTCAGAGGCGGAGATATGTATAACTGGGTATGGCTCAAGTAGCCAGCCCCCCGACAATAAAAACTTGTAATGAGGGTGTGTGTGTGTGTGTGTGCGTGTGTGTGGGTTGGGCTGGGCAGTTGCGACTGCGCCGTTTAGTCGGGCAGTTGAACGTTTATTGATAGATGGCCACAGTTGACAGATGAGCTCGCCACAAGTCAGATGCAGATGCAGTTGCAGATGGTTGGGCGGTTGACGGGCCACTGGAAAAAGTCATTAGTATGCGCACACATAACACTTGGCATATTAATTGTCCGGGTAATGTGGCGAGAGAGAGAGAAAGAGAGAGCGAGAGGGAGAGAGAGGGAGACCAATGCTGATGACGAACTAATGTCGAGCTCAGCTTTGGTCTCAGCCATAGTCATCAATGCCAACCGCAGTTAAAACAAAGTACCATTTGCATAATAGCCATACTAGACAAAAAGCCAAACATCATACACATACACACGTATGTGTATGTGTGTATATATTTAAAATAAAAGTATTTCCATGTGTGTGTGCGCCGGTTGGGTTATTTATGCGATGAGGTAGTAGAACTGCAGACCTGCACTTGGCGGCGCAATTATGCAAGGCTGTCTCGTTGCCCTGGCTTCGAAACGTGACCACCAACAGAGTCTGACATCGAACCCACTCCCTGGCATTGGATTGTTGGGCAGAGCGGGATACCCAGGGCCTGGGACAGCGCACACGTTGCCAGATATGTTAATAGGCTATGTTAAATGCAGACGGGATGCTACTAGCGAGCGGGTATTAAATAAGCTTCGGGACAGCAATTAGAGCGATATCGAGTGAGCTATACATCCATTTGAGCTATGCGACAGATTGCGAATATAATGAATATTAACTATGTGGATGCATAAAAGTGACTGACTGAATGAATGATTGGTGATCAAT